TTTTTTTTTTTTTTTTAACCAACTAAATTAATTCTAAAAAATTTAAATTACTTGAAATCCCCATGTATTTAGTTAAAATTAGGGTTGAGAATTTAATACAGGAAAACGAGTAACTGAGTCGAACCAAACCGAAATTAGCCGGTTCAGTTGGATTATTTGCTAAAAATTTGTCATTTTCTCGGTTCAGTTCTAGAGACTAGAAAACGGTTTGTCGTTTTCGGTTATTAACATAAATCTTTACAATTAATTGAGAAACCGATAAGTTTCATATATTTATTTTATAGAAAATTATCTAGCATACTGTTAAATATAATTTTTATTACATGCTTCCACTCCATATATATGTATTAACAAAATAACTAAATCTACTCTAATTATTTGCATAAATACCAAAATTCAAGTTAATCATATTTATATTTAATTAAAAAGGTGGCGAATTTAACGGTGATTTATACCAAAACTAATTTCATATTATTATGAAAATCTCTCCCCAAATTATGAGGTGGATTTCCATGTTATGCTGAATTGGCTAGCTCAACCTTTGCCAAATCTTTCAATCAGGTCGTCAGCTCGTAGGGAAAAGGCCTCGGCCTTGACCTCGAAAAGGGCCCGCACGATTCGGGTGGTTAACGATAAGCTAGTGGTTGTCAACCTTGGGAGGAGGGCCCACACAAGGAGCTCCTCACTGCAAAAGTCTCTCAAGCAGAGAGTGATGGGGTTTAAGAATCTGGTAGGTCGTCGTAGATGGTGGAGTTTTCGAGTCGAAGATACGGTGGCTTCTTTTTTCGATCCCCGCGATTGTTTTTTGAAGAGACAACAATGGACTTCGGCAGCTCCGCGTCTCTCCCCTCCTCATTCCCAGGCGGGAGGTCAAGTTGGAGATGATGAAGGCGAGGCCCGAAGCTCTGGCTCGTAGAGATGTCGACAATATATGTTGCGTGCATAAGAAGTAGATTTTTAGCACAATCTTAATGATGCTATGACAATTTGCTTATGAGCAGCGACAACATACATATACTATATAGGATCTATTTCATTGCATATTTGATGTTTATTCATAGTTTACATTTGGTGTATTAGACGATTTCACGATATGTTTCATTGTTTATATTATAATTTTTATTTTTGTAGTCCAGTCTTATGTTTTTTTAGTTGTTGAGTACTTTTTCAACGATCTTGTTCGATTGTTGTTCAAGATCCGCATGTGCAATAGGGGAATTTGAGCTGGTAAAAGTTATGCAAATAAAAATAAGACATATACTAAAATATACTGACTATAAATGCAACATAAACTGAAATTTATTCTATTGCCCGTCTTGCACAAGATTACGATGCTCGTAGTTAAGCTGTCACCTCTTTTTGTCATAATTGTCGACCTGATCGATTTTTTCATTGTATATTACGAAGATATAAATAGTATATATCTGCTTATATGCTACGGAGGCGTAAATTTTATATATTTACTTAGATGTTATATACATTCTTACAAGTTATAAACCAAGCATAAACAAAATTTTGGTTAAACAAGAAAAAAATTATAATATAGTATGTATAATATTTTTTAACATCATGAGAGCCCTTATAATATATTTTACATATCAATGTTGTACATGTTGTAGGTATAAAATTCATTAGAAAATATAATCAAAAAGTATAAACAAAATCCAAATATCACAATTGTGGTTAGATAATGTTATGTAAACAAAAATGCAACATATACTAAAAATATATTGAGTCTAAATGTGTAGTTTGTGAATATAAAAAAGGCGGCTTAAAGAGAATGAACAAAACAAAACAAAATCAAAGTCGAGACACGTAATAGTTACGTTCTCCTTAAGACGAAATTGTCCCGTAAAATACCCACTGTTAAATGGCAAACGCCTCCAAGGTACAACGACTTTTGACTTGTATATAGCGGTACTTTAAATATACAAGCTCTCGTCGAATAATACTATTGTTTTGAACTCTCAAAACTCAACGAAAAAAAATAAAAGAACACAATATGATTTATGGACTTTGAAAATATAATGCAAGAGCTTTTAATTTTTACGTTTTGAATGATCTCATGTATGCGGACATTTATAGATGTAGGAAAACATTTCCAAGATATTTAAGTGTCAAAAGACACCTTTTGCGACGTACCCAAACCAGAATGAACGCATCTAGAGGCCAAAAGACACCTTATGATCACCAACGGCCGCGACCTTCTGGTGTCCACAGCCAGTTGCGCGCCCGTGCGCCGCGGGCTCTTACGAGCTCATCCGAACTCGGAATCGAGTTCTGTTTTTTCTACTCATCCTCAACCAACCCTTTAAGATTTATAGCATGCAAGCTGCATGATCAAGTCTCGTTTGAATTGTTCTAATATTCGTCAAAGACAAAATATTTTATAATCCAATAATTTGAGTTACTTAAACTCATTGCTCCAACCTTACATTTCCCACATCTACAACTTAGAATTAATTTCTTTTTCATTTTAAATGTTTTTGAGAATTTTCTAAGTTTTTCTCTTACAAAAATAAAACCGTAAAATCAGTACAAAACTTTTTTTTTTTTTTTCAAAAATGCAATATATACTGGAAATATTCTTTGGCCAATTTTCATATATACTCTCGAAACTGGCAATACTCTCGTCCAAGCCCGTAATTGGCGATACTCTCAGACTTCGAGGTGGACGACCAGAGGAAGCTATTATCGTCACTGTGAACGGGTTCATTTTTCGGACATCTTCTCCATCCACGGCCTCGACAGTGGACATATGAGGTTCTGTATTGGGGACTGGTTCTTGGAGCCTATCGTCTTCTTGACGTTGTTGGCCTTCTCTGAAGTCTCCAGAATTCGCCGGGAACGAGTAGAACTGTGGTTGAATTCAATATTGATATGCTTTTTTTTTTTTTCGGATGCAGTATTCAAAGTGACATTGATGGTTTTTACCACGTAGAGACGATTTGATCTTTTAATTATGGTGCATAACAACAGTTATGATTTTTTGGTAACTGATATTTTGTATCTTTACAATTAATTATCATGTAATTTGTAAAAATACAACTAAGATTTCCCCATAGTACAATTTCAATTGTTTCCAAATCATATGCTATACATAAAAATTCGCCATTATTATATTTCATAATATATGGCTGGGCACCTGCCTCAATCCGTAATTCATTAACACGTGAAGCCCACAAAAACAAGACAAAGCCTATCTGCCTCAATCCAAGTTTCAAATGATGGTCAATTAATTATATAAATTATAACATCATATTAAAATAAAATATATAATAAAAACTCGGGTTTGCTAACACGGTCCATCCGGGCCAACGACGGATCCAGAAATTTTCACGAGTCAGGGCAAAATATAGTTGAAGAAAATTTGTAACTATACTGCACAACATATTTATATTAATAATTAAATAAATTGTTGAAGCATCGATCTGGTCTTGATTCCCTATTCAACGTGCCTGTGAATTGATGTTAAAAAATAAAATTAAGAATGAGTTCTGATTATTTGATTTTACGTTTTTATTATTATTAATAAATATACACAAAATATTATGCAATCTCGTTTTCATGAATGTTTGTATAAGTTATATATACAGAAATCATTTTCAAATAAAATTTATTATCTTAGAAAAAAACTTAATTGTCATCATTTTAGGTTATGTCATTTTATGAAGACCAATTCCTTATAAGTTATCTTCTTATATATAAATGTAGAGTGTTTTTATCCATGTTTATTAGAACATTCAAATTTAAACCCTTGGCTAACTTAAATTGTAAATATTTTTAAAAGTTAATAACATTTATATTTTTTATTAGTTTTTATATATTATAAATTAAACTAATAATAATTTAACCATCTATAGTTTGTCATTTGTCAAGATATCATAAATAATGCAAAGATCAAAAAGGAAGGCATTGAAAATGGAGTTGGTATTCTCAAATCTGTGAAATGTCAATAACATGAAAGAGAGTTGATTGATTGACGGCTGCCATGTTTCCTTAACTATATATACCTGTGACCTAACATCAAAAGAACAAACAAGCTAAACCCTAAGCTGAGATTGGACAATGTGAGTGGCCAATGAGAGAGCTGCACGTGTGATCTTCCAGCTGGGTTTGTCTTCATGTTTAACGTCCAAAATATTAATCTGACGACTCACATGCATGTCACCTTGATCATGATCCAACGGTTGCTGTTGCATGTTGGTATTAGCAATGCAAGTCAAAGCATAAGGACTTGGACTTCTAACATCCCCCCTCAATTCGATCCCAGGTTTAGGAGAAATGTGAAGTTTGTTTCTTAACCTGGAGAAGAATTGTAAGCTAAGTGGCTTGCTGAAAATGTCAGCCACTTGATCAAGTGAAGGTACATGCTGGACATGAAGTTTCTTTGTCAGGATTTGTTGTCTTACAAAATGAAGATCAATCTCGATGTGCTTTGTCCTAGCATGTTGCACTGGATTGGAAGCTAGAGAAATTGTGCTGATGTTATCCACCCATATACACGGAGTTTTCTGAAGAGGAATGGACAATTCATTAAGCAATGACTGAAGCCACATGATTTCTGCAGTAGCATGTGCCAAACTTCTATACTCTGATTCTGCACTTGATCTTGAAACACTAACTTGTTTCTTTGACTTCCATGAGACTAAGTTTTCTCCAAGGAATACACAAAAACCAGTTGTTGATTTCCTGTCATCCACATCACTGGCCCAATCTGAATCTGAAAATCCCACAATGTTGAGCTGGTTTGATTTGACAATTTGCAGACCATAATGGAGAGTTCCACTGAGATACCTTAATATTCTCTTTACTGCTTTCCAATGTGTGTCAAGAGGATTGGACATAAACTGACTCACTTTGTTAACACTGAAGGATATTTCTGGTCTTGTTATTGTCACATATTGAAGACCACCAACTATGCTCCTGTAATGAGTACTTTCTGATATTGGGCAACCTTGATTTTTGGATAGATGCTCAGATGTGATCATAAGAGTAGTTGTCCCTTTGGCTTCTGACATATTAGCCTTGTGAAGAAGTTCTTTTATGTAACTTGCTTGATTCAAATGAAGCCCATAAGAAGTTTTGGAAACTTCTATTCCAAGAAAATGATTAATTGTACCCAAGTCTTTCAAGGAGAAGGTATTAGACAGATCAGTCACCACTTTGTCAATACTCTCTTTGGAGTCTCCTGAAATAAGGATGTCATCTACATACACCAAAAGATAAATTTGGCAGTTGGAGTTCCTTTTAACAAAAAGAGAAGTATCTGACTTGGTGTCTTTGAATCCCATTTTAAGGAGAGTCTCTCTGATAGTGTGGAACCAAGCTCTTGAGGCTTGTTTGAGGCCATAAAGAGCTTTAGAAAGCTTGCAAACAAGATTTTGATCACTGTTCCCTTCCTCAAAACCAACTGGTTGTCTCATGTAAATGTCCTCTTGCAAGTTCCCATGTAAGAAGGCATTGTTGATGTCTAGATGCCTAATGTCCCAACCATTGCTAACAGCCAATGTGAGGATCACCCTTATGGTTACTGGTTTAACCACAGGGCTAAAAGTTTCAAGGTAATCAAGACCAGCTGACTGAGAATATCCTTGTGCAACTACTCTTGCTTTATGTCTTGATACCTTTCCATCTGCATCCCTTTTTAATTTGAAAATCCACCTGCAGCCAACTAAGTTCTTACCAGGAGGTAAGGTAGTTAAGGTCCATGTTTTGTTGTCAAGAAGAGCTTTGTACTCTTCAACCATAGCTGCTCTCCAGGTTGGTGATGAGAGTGCCTCATGAACATTTGCTGGTTCAGTTTTATTTGCAGCTGTTAAGGAGAAAATCTTTGGTTTCCTGATTCCTGCTCTCAGTCTGGTGATCATTGGATGTTGAGTTGGTTGAACTTGTGTAGGTGCAATTTGTGACTGTGGTGTAGATGGTGCTGAGCTCATATTAGGTAACTGAACATATATAGGAACAGTGAGAGGAGCTTTGGACTGGACTGTGGTGAGAGGAGTGTATTATGGGAGAATGGTGAGACTGAGTTGGTTGAGGTGAGTTATGTGGAGATGGTGGTGAATTTGATTGAGAGTGAGTGGTATTGGTGGGATTGACTGAAACCAAAGGAGGTGGTGAAGTGCAAAAATGACTAGAGTCCATAGGTTGGGATTGAAGAACATGGATATCTTGGTAAGGAAATTTAGACTCATCAAAAATGACATCTCTTGAAAGTATGACTTTTCCATTTGAAAGAAGAACTTTGAAGCCTTTATATTGATTACTATAGCCAATAAAAGTTCCTGCCATGGATCTAAATTCAAGTTTATGCTTATTATATGGCCTCAAAACTGGAAAAGCTAAACAACCAAACACTTTCAGCTTTTTGTAATCATGTTTTTGTTTGTAAAGGATCTCAACAGGACTCTTATAACTCAAGGATTTGGTAGGGAGTCTGTTTATCAAGTAAACTGAGGTGATAAATGCATCATCCCAAAAGGAAGGAGGTAAGTTGGAATGAGCAAGAAGAGATAACCCAGTTTCAACAATATGTCTGTGTTTCCTCTCAGCTACTCCATTTTGTTGAGGGGTATATGGACAGGAGACTCTATGATTAATGCCACATTCTTGGAAGATTTCAGTTAATGATCTATATTCACCTCCCCAATCTGTTTGAATGGATTTAAGTTTGGTATTGAGTTGGTTTTCTGCAAGACTTTTGAAATGAAGGAAGGCTTGTTTAACTTCTGATTTAAGTTTGAGAAGATATATCCATGTGAACTTGGTACAATGATCAATAAAAGTAACATAGTATGAATATCCATTTCTGGACTTCACTGGTGATGGCCCCCGAAGGTCAGAGTGAACAAGATCAAGAGGGTTTTCATATCTAGTGGCAGAATCAGAATAAGGCAATTTATGAATTTTAGATAAAGCACAAGATGAGCAAACAGTAACATCCTTTATCATAGCAAATGGGATATTACAGTCTTTCAAGGCTTTCATTACAACTTCATAACTGGAATGCCCTAATCTATGATGCCAAAGATCTAGACTAGCACTATTCTTTAAGGAAATGGACAAAACAACAGCACTGCAACTAGGCTGGTTAAGCTTCTTAAAGGTTTGGACTTGTGGGCTCTTATTCTTGATAGGTTGAAGCTTGAATTGATAAAGACCTTCCCTAAGAACTCCCTTGAGTAAAGTGTCCTGAGTGACTTGATCCTTAACAAGACAAAACAAAGGATGAAATTCAAAGTATACATTATTATCCATGGCAAATTGTGAGACACTGATAAGATTCTTTGTGACTGAGGGAATATGAAGAAGGTATTTGAGAACAAAGGCTTTTGAGTGAGGTGTTTTAAGAAAGGTGTTACCATAATAAGCAATGCACTCACCTGAACCATTGGCCATTTGCACCTTACTATTTCCAAAGTACTCACTGGGATTGGTGATGTTGTTTAAATCACTTGAAACATGATTTGAAGCTCCTGTGTCTGGATACCAGTTCATTTCAGAGGCTGAGTCTTGAACAAATGAGGATGTGTTGGCTGCTTGCATGGTATTGACCACATGATTCCTCATGAAGGTAGTTTGAGTGTTGTTATTGTGGCTACTGTTGGATGGTATGCTGAAGCTTTGATCAAAGCGGTGCCAGCATCTATCTGCTGTGTGACCAACCACTTGGCACACTTGACAAACAGGCTTGTTTGAACCATATCTACCACCTCTACCTCTATATCATCCTCTGGTGTTTCTTCCTCCTCTTCCTCTAGGGGCTGAGTTATAGCTTCTGTTGTTGTTGTTATTGTACTTCCCTTGAGGAGTTTGAGTGATAGCATTCAAGGTGGGTTGAGTTCCTTCATTATTGAAGCTCAATGATTGAGTGGTCTCAAGTCTTAATTCAAAACTAAGCAAAAGAGCTTCAACATCAGCTTTAGTAAATGCCTCTGGCCTTGATGTGACATTCACCATGACAGGGTTGTAGTCAGATCCTAACCCTGACAGAATGTGAAGGATTTGATCTGTGGATGACACCACACTTCCAGTTGCAGCCAAGATATCAAAACAATACTTTCATTTTGTTTAGGTACTCTCTCATGGACATATTTCCTTTCTTAAGAGTTTGAAGTTGCAGCTTGTATTGCATCTGCTTGGCTAAGGTTTGACTTGAGAAATTTACCTCTAGAGATTTCCAGATTTCCCTAGCCGAGCTCAAGCCAACAGTCAAGATAAGAATACTTTCTGAGAGTGAGGAGAGTAACCATGATGCCAATAGCTGATCTTGTCTGGTTCATGTCATAAACTCAGGATTAATGACTGGATCTGCATCTTCATTGACAGTGAACTTCGAAGGAGGAACACTTTCTCCTGTGATGAAATCTTCAAGACCATAGCCTCTTATGGTGGTAAGCACTTGTTGTTTCCAGATGAGATAATTTGACTCATCTAATTTTGTAGTGATGAGCTGATTTTGAGGTTGTATGATCTGGATCTGAGAGTTTTGGTTTGAGGTTGAGCCTCCTTCGGTATTTGAAACTTGAGACATGATGATATGTTGGGATAAGGTGTTTTAAAGATAAAATGAGTGGATAGCATCAGAGACAGGTCAAAACCTGCTCTGATACCATGTCAAGATATCATAAATAATGCCAAGATCAAAAAGGAAGGCATTGAAAATGGAGTTGGTATTCTCAGATCTGTGAAATGTCAATAACATGAAAGAGAGTTGATTGATTGACGGCTGCCATGTTTCCTTAACTATATATACATGTGACCTAACATCCAAAGAACAAACAAGCTAAACCCTAAGCTGAGATTGGACAATGTGAGTGGCCAATGAGAGAGCTGCACGTGTGATCTTCCAGCTGGGTTTTGTCTTCATGTTTAACGTCCAAAATATTTATCTGACGACTCACATGCATGTCACCTTGATCATGATCCAACGGTTGTTGTTGCATGTTGGTATTAGCAATGCAAGTCAAAGCATAAGGACTTGGACTTCTAACATCATTAATATCTTATATATAAATTTAAAAAAACATATCTATCAGATCTATATCAATAATAGATTAAATATTTATTAACTATGACTGAAAAACAATAAATTTATCTATCAAGCCTATTATATAGTATAAATACTAAAATATTGTAACGACATGCAGTCAAATTTGACAGGGATGTGTATCATTTTAAATAAAAAAATAATATTATTTTGTCAGAATTATTTAAAATTTTAAAGTTAGAACTTGTATTTATATTTTTACAAATATTAAATATAAATTTACAATTAATATACGTAAATATGAAGTTAACACATAAAAGCCAGCTTAGGCTCGCCCATGTGTGGATCCGCCACATATCCGGGCCGTCCGATCTGGTTCTGTTTCGAAAAAA